GTGATGTCTAGACAAATTTCAACTATTAGCAAAACTCTTCTTAGCAATTAGGTGCTGAGGATTCTACAACCATGTGACTCTTTAGGAAAAAGCAGTATACATCCTGTACCTAAGGGCATCTCCAACCGAACGCCAAACATGCGTATGACATCGTTCGATCGCTCCACGTCAATATTAGCGTTGCAATGTTCACATATGCTATTTTTCTATCTCAACCGGATTTGCCGAAGAAATGCACGAAAGAGGAGAAGGACATCTCCATCCGAATGCCAACATGCGTATAACACCGTTATTTGATTGCTGGTGAATACCAAATCTTCCGCTATTTGATTGCCGGTGAACAGTACGATGTCAATATTGGCGTGGCATTGCTCACCTACTAGATTTTTCTATCTCAACCGGATTTTCCGAAGAAACGCGCGAAAGAGGAGAAGGTTACCTTGGCATAAATGCTCAAAATGAAGTTTGATTTGAGATGAATCACGGCATTTTTTAGTTTCGTTGCATTGCTCACCTACTAGATTTTTCTATCTCAACCGGATTTTCCGAAGAAACGCGCGAAAGAGGAGAAGGTTACCTTGGCAGAAATGCTCAAAATGAAGTTTGATTTGAGATGAATCACGGCATTTTTTAGTTTCGTTGCATTTTGAAGTGAAAAATGAGATTTTTGGTTGGAGATGCTCTAAATTGATGTATATGAATAAAGATGCAACGGCTGAGACTCTACACCGACTTCATGACATAAGCGTCACTGCTGGCTGCTGCTAGGTAAAAAAGTAGATATTTTCTGACTTTCATAAAATCAAACCTCACCTAACTGCATCCTGTAGCTCAGCGCTTCTGACTCCTTCAACCCAACCCAAACAAGCATCTTCGCATCCTCAACCAGGCGAGTTTTAGCCTGCCCTTCCTTCATCTGCGAAGAAAAAGAAACAGTATGAAGAAAACCCAAGAAAGATACCCAAAAGAAATCCTCAAGTTTCACCTGCCAAAATAAGCATCAGGGTTTCGCCAAAGCAAAAATCTAATCATCAATAGTCTACAGTCTACCTGAGCGATGCAAGACTCAAGAAACCGTTCCCTGCTGCTCCAATATTCGTGCTGGATGTAGAAGTTGTTCTCGAGAAACTCACGATCATTTATTAGGGTTTTTATTTGCGACCTCTGGAACTTCAGCATTTCCTTCAATGTTCTATAGATCTGGCTCCATATGTGTTTATCGGTGGAAAGATGAGGATTAAGCTGTTGGTCCATCCTCTCAAAACCTTGCCGAAATCAACGAAAGAACTCAGCGTTTTGATTTGAAACGGGGTGA